CCACGCTGCCACATTCTTGAGCCTGGGAAGATGGGAGGGGGGAATTTCATGACTGTTCTTCCTGCACCAATTCAGTTCAGACTGCCCAAGGACCTGCTGATACATTTCTATAGAGGAATTATTGAGTCCATCATTTGCACCTCTATTACTGTCTGGTGTCTGTACGAGTATTACTGTATTACTGTCTTTCTGACGAGCTTGGAGCCCGTCAGCTTACTGCAGGGCCTATCAGCTCACCATGGAGCCTGTCACCTCACTGCGGAGCCTGTAAGCTTGCTGCAAAGCCCATTAATTCGTCGTGGAGCCTGTTGACTTGCCACAGCGTCTGTCAGCTCCGAGCACATCGCAAAGACTGTCAACTAGCCTCTGCTGCCGCCAGAACTGTTTTCCTCCTACATGCGGGCCGATGGTGTTGAGGGTCACATTGGGATGATGTCAGCAATGCGGCACTGCTGGGTATATGCTGGAGCAACTGCGGGGCTAGAGATGAATTAATGGCTCTTTTGAAGTGTCGATGCAGCGCATCGTGGTAGAGGAGTTTGGGGCACATATGGGTGATAATTTAGACTTAATTCAATAAATGGTGAAGGTGGCACAAGGTAGGTATCGGTTAGTGAGGGTCGGGATAAGTTAGGGATGTAGACATGTTATAGAGTTAATAGCATCGGAGGATAATGGGGTAGGCATAGCCAGAATTAGAGCTGCGTGTAGGCTTGGGTGTGGTGGGGTGTGTCTAATGGAAATGGTAATAAAAGGAAAAGAAACAGACTCAATCCCAACGCTAACCTTGCCTGACTTTTAGCCTTTCTTGTCAGATAAGAGTATTTGTTGTTTGATGATTTAAAGAATAAATCATTATTGCACTACCAAAGGAGCTGGAGTTTATATTCATTTCAGGACAAATCTTCAATACTCAAGGACTGGCTGAGATCTGGTTTGGCACAGCAACTAAGCAAAGAACACACAGACTTCAACAGATAGTTAGGATTGCAGAAAAAATGTCTTCATTCTCCTACCATTGGGTAGGAGATACAGAAGCATAGCCAGCTGCACCAACAGGCTGAAGAACAGTTTCAACCCGTGACTGTCAGACTCCTGAACAGAAAATAACTTCATGTCAATATAGTATGATAGGTTTGCAGGCCCGGCGTGTTGTGCACAAGGTCAGCTAGTGTAATAAGATAGGGACTGGGTTAGGGACTTCTGTCTTCACTGTGAGTTGTGGTGCATGAAAGGAGGCTCAGCTAATCTCACTGTACACATGTTGTACTCTTGACAATAAAGGTTGATTAATTGATTGAACAATTGCTACCAGACTGCCTGCCATGGAGGACCGATATAACTGCATGAGCCAGAAAGAGGGCTGTGAAAATATCTACAGACCCCTCACGTCCTGGACATAAACAGTTTCAACTCCTTCCCTTAAGATGATGTTATAGGGAATTGCACACCAAGACAACCAGACACAATCCCACCCCCACCCCCAATGTCATCACTTTGCTAAGCAATTAATTCCCACAATACAGTCTGTACCCTGGGATGTCAAGCTACCTAGTAGGCTATATTACATATTATCCTTCTCATCTTTTCTATTACCTATTTTATTAGCTTCTTATGACTATAAGTTTGTTGTCTGTATCTTATGCTTTATGTTGATTTCCTTTATGTAGTATCCGATTATGATTTATGATGTTTATTTAGTATCCTATGGCTAGCACTTAGTTCAGTGGTTCCCAAACTTTTTCAGTCCACCACTCCCTTGGTGCTACAAACTCATCCTTGGTGCCCCCCCACCCAGGGGTGGGATTCAAATTTCTGTGGGTGTGGCCTATTTTGAGGGCGTGGCTTGCTGGTCATGTGACTGGGTGGGCACGGCTTGGTCACGTGACTGGGTGGGCGTGGCTTGGTCATGTGACTGGGTGGGCGTGGCCAGGTGACTGGCAAACCAAATACAAGTGGTCCTCACTTAATGGCCGGTTGTTTAGCAAGTCTTCTAATTTATGACTGGCCTTCCCAGAGTTACTTGATCTGTTTTTGGAGTTTTGACAGCCTCCCTCTCCCCCTCCCTCCCTCCCTCCCCCTCCCTCCCTCCGTTTTGCTCTACTTTCCCAATGTGCCTGCGGGGCCGGTGTTTTGAAGATGGATGGATCGATGGATAGAGAGAGACAGACAGAGACAGGTATGTAGGTAGGTAGGTAGATAGGTAGATAGATTGGTAGATAAATATGGAGGTAGGGAGGTAGGTAGATGGATTGGTAGATAAGTAGGGAGGTAGATAAGTTGGTAGACAGACTTCGCAAGGCTTGCTGCACGCGGGTTCCACATTCGAAGTGCCAGCTACGGAGCAATGAAACAGTCAATGGGGTGACCCTGCGGGGCTGGCGCCTTGAACACCCTCCTGCTGCCTCTTAGCGCCCCCGCCAGCCCCCTTGCCTCTTAGCGCCCCCCTAAGGCATCCCACCGCCCCAGGAGGTGGTACCGCCCACTTTGGGAACCACTGACTTAGTTTATATCTTATGATTTATGATTGTTTTTTATGATTATGATCATGATTTATTTACTTGTTCTACACTGGGACCTTATGCACCAGAGACAAATTCCTTGTGTGTCCAATCAAAATTGGCCAATTAAAAATTCTACTCTACTCTACTCCATTCCCGTGGTACTTAAAAGTTTGTGAACCCTTTTGAATTTTCAATATTTCACATAAATATGACCTAAAACATGATCAGTTCTCCACACAAGTCCTAAAACTAGGCAAAGAGAACCCAATTAAACAAATGAGTCCAAAACATGAGATGAGAACAATCAACCAACGAAACAGAAGTTGCCTTTAGAAGTTGTGAGAGCTTCATCAATGGAAGCTTTCAAGAAGAGACTGGACTGCCATCTGTCAGAAATGATGTAGGGTCTCCTACTTGGGAGCGGGGTTGGACTAGATGACCTACAGGGTCCCTTTCATCTCTGTTAATCTGTTACATCACATTTACTTGCCATTCATTTCCTAGTTCAGGTGACATATTGCTCGTATTGCTTTATTTGAATTCTGATTTGTCATAGAATGTAAAGATTGGAAGGGATCTTAGAGGTAATCGTGTCGAACCTTCTACAGTACTCATTGTAGAAATCCACCATAGCCCATCCCCAAACAAATTCTTTCCAGCCTCTGCTTAAGCACTCCAAGGTAAAGCAAATACATCACCTCTCTTGAGGTACGTTGCTTCATTATGGAACAGCTCCTATTAGAGACATTTTCCTGATCATCAACCCATATCTACTTCCTCGTGATTTACATCCATTGTTCTTCTTTAATCTAGTGGAACAATTCTGCGCTGTCTTCACGGGGCTGCCCTCTGTATATTTGAAGACTGCTATCTATCTCTTGGAAGACTTCTCCAGGGGAAACATACCCAATGCACACCACTCTTAAGTTTTTCCTTCTTCACCTCAATAAAACCTGTAAAATTACATGTTCATTTATGCATTGATCCAAAGCTACACATTTATGAACCGTTACTTTCAGTAACTTGTGTGATCCCTCTGGGCAGAAATAATTGCAGTTAAGCATTTCCAATAATTGTTGATCAGTCTTGCACATCAGCATGGAGGAATGTTAGCTCATCCCTCCTGACAGAATAGCTTCAACTTGGGGATTTTGGTGGACTTCCTCGCACAAACTACCCATTTCAGGTCCTTCCACGTTTCTATAGGATTAAGCTCAGGACTTTGACTTGACCATTCCAAAACATAACTTCCATACAGCTTTTATGTTTTGAATTGTTGTCTCATTGTGTGATTCACTTTCTTTTGAGTTTCAATTCATAGACAGATATCCTGACATTTTCCTGTAGAATTTTCCATACAATCCAGAATCCATCTTGGTTTCAGCAAAGATGGGAAGCTATCCTAGTTCAGAGGCAGCATTTCTCTTCTGTCAAAACATGTTTTTCATTCATTAAGTCAAAAAAGATCTATTTTGGTTTCATCTGTCCACAGAACATTATTTCAATAGCTCTCTAGCTTATCCACATTACCCTTCACAAAATATAGATGAACAGCAATGTTCTTTTTGGAATATAGTGGCTTTCTCCTTGCAATCTGCTGTGTACACTATTGTTTTTCTTACTGAGAGTCTCATGACTTCTGGCTTTTGCAATCTTTCAATACTTGAGGGGCTGTCATAGAGAAGAGGGGTTGACTTATTCTCCAAAGCACCTGAAGGCAGAACTAGATGGGGAAGTGGAAAATTGACAAAGAGAAATTGAACCTAGAATTAGAGGAAAATTTCCTGCAGCACAATGCAAATGAGCCACGTGCACAGGAGAACAAAGCCAACAGGACTAGTTTCTGCAGTCCATCTGCATTTAAAAGACAAAGGCCATTCTTTTGAAGACAGCAAAGTCCACATTTTGGACAGAGCAGACCACTGGTTTGAAAGAGAGGTCAAAGAAGACATCTATGTCAAAATTGAACAGCCCTCTCTCAACAGAGGGGGAGGGATACGACATCATCTATCTCCAGTCTGCAATACAATCATTTCAGAAGTTCCAAGGAGGCCCCACACCCATTTGCACCATTCAGGTGAACCTGATGATACAGATAAACATCCAGGTGGCCTTAAGTACTTGTTAAAAGAATGAAAATGACCAGCTGTCTGCAAGGAGTATAAATTCTTCCATTCCCCACCATCCAGTCAGAGCTGAAGAAGCTTCTTGGATGAGAAGCAAAACATCTTCAAAGAAACACCAGAAAGTCCAGTTGCCTCTTGAAAAAGCAGCTTTGGGACAACTTTGACCTGGATGATTGAGAATCTCCATAGACATTCAATTATCGTTTAGGTAAAGCAAAGCAATGAAATAGGAAATATTTTTATAATAAATAAATAAATCTGCATCCATATGTCTGTAGAAACTGGAAAAGTTCACTTGGTAATTTACAAATATTTCTATGAGCTATTGTGCCTAGAGTTCCCCTTGGTTTCTCCTTCCGGCTACCATTACCTGCATCCTCTCTGAAAGTATCTCCACCAAAAGCTCATCTGGAAGTACGCAACTCATCAGACCATAATCACCAACTCCACTGGCACTGACACTCAGGCGTCGCTGGAGGGGGGCGCTGGGGATCGGGCTGGAGGGTACCTGGGAAGGCAGTTAGAAAATTAACAGACCAGTTAGGGACTAATCCTAAAATGTGTGGACATACACTTTTTGTAGTTAACAAGTAAATATTTTATTTTTCTGTATTACCTGTTTTGCATATATTACAATATGCTATCTTAATGAAATGATTTATTACTTTTTCTCTTTTGGTTAATGAAGAATAATATTTCAGAAAGGCCCCAAAAGAAAGGAATACAGAAGTGAGGGAATAGATGAAGGAAGTATTGGTAATGCACTTCAAATGTAGAAGATATTAAGCTTACTAAACGTATCATTTTCAAAATTAATTATAGGATTTGGAGAGAAAAATGATTAAAACTGTTAACCAATTGTTTTTACTGCTTTCAGAGATGAAGAAAAGGAGAAATTAGAATAGATAGCGTAGGGACTAAAATCAATAAAAGCTTTCGAAAATAGGATGACAGGATTCAACCTAGAAATTACAATCTCGGGGGATTTGAAATCACAAATTTGAACTCACATTTAAATATTAAAGACTAAAAAAATTAAGCTGTTTCATGATTGCCTATCAAATCTAAATGTAGAATTGAGAAATTAAATTCTGAAATAAGAAAAGCTAAATAAGGATGACCAGACTTGATGATTTTACTGGAAGACTTTGAAGTTTTTCAAAAGTTTTCTTAGGTGGTATGCTAGAGGACACCAAGGGACAGATGGAAAGGAATGTAAAGTACCTCTCACTGGCAGACATTATATGTCAGATATAGCGAGGAGTCCCAGACAAGTCAGAAAGGAATTTAGAAAGAAGACTAAACCAGGAAATGATCCAATCACTTCATAGAAGAATTAAAGAAAACTGCTACAAACTAATTGTTGATATTTAGATGTCATTCAGACTGTCAACCAGCATTTTAATCCTTAAGCACGGCTAACCTGACTATCCATTTCAAATGGGGCGGGGGGGGGGAGAGAGAGATGCAGTTTTAATTGAAAGCTGGCATTCTACTACTTGGTGAACTGTCATACAGGCGGTCCTTGCTTACTGACTATTCATTCAGCAACCATTTGAAGTTACAATGGGCTGAAGGAGATTTACGACCAGGCTTCAAACTTGTTGCAGGTGCAGCGTATCTGCATCCACTTGCTTGTGCTTTAGACATACGGCAAACGGCCCTCATTTCCAACAGTGCCTCGGAGAAGTGAAGTCAGTGGAGATGCTGGCAAGGTTAAGGCACAGTCACAGGATGTCATGCTCAAAAAGCCCCCAACAATTTATTTAACGACCGTGCCAGTTCTCGATGGAATTGTTGGTCCAATTATAGTCAGTAAGTGAGGACTACCTGTCCATGGGACTGAGCTTGATGGATTTTCACCTGGGATCCAGGCTGATCTGGCGGCGGCGGCTGCTGCTGCTGCTGCTGCTGCTGCTGCTGCTGCTGCTGCTGTTTCAGAGACAGGTGGCTTTCCAGCTTGCCTTTGGCCGTGGCGGTGCTTCCTCGGTAGCCCCGGGAGACAATAGAGAGGGCCCCTGTCTTGGACTCAGAGCTCTGCTGGCTGCCATTCGAGGTGTGCTTGGCCAAAGCCTCAGTGCTCAGCCGGGTGCCAAGAGCAAGGGCTGGCTGCCCCTCTGTGCCTTGGAAGAAAAGTGGGGAGGGGAGGAACAAGGCTAGCAGGAGGAGCGCAAGAAAAGTTTTCTTCCTTGTTCAACAGGCAGGAAAAGTAATAATTTTTTATTGATAAACCAAATCTCCTCTGAAAGGAGGAGATTGCAGCCTATTGCAGCCATGACCTGCTTCCACATCACTCTATTATTGATGCATATTTTTGTGCTTTAAAGAAGGACCCACACACTCACATCTAATCAGGACCCTATGGATTGCAACATCTGACTCTAATTTCCCCTTCAAAGGAACTGTTGAACTGATGAACATAGAGTTTTCAGATTTTTGCTACACACAATTACTTAGCTGGGAAGCTTCTCTTCAATTTAAAAATTAATGAAGTGTTTAAGAAATGGGGAGGCATAGAAAATATTTTAATTTGCCCCACTCCCCTTTAGCAACCCTCTGAACTGCTGAAGCCTCAGAACCAACATATACTTAGCTGGCTCTATCAAAGTATCCCCTCAAGAAGACACCACATCTCCTCATAGTAATCCACACAAAAGTAGGATTGTCAAGCTCAAAGCGCGCTTATGCTGTTGCAACCATTATCGCTTCTCAACTTGCCAAAGGACCAGAGGGGAGGGGAGGGAGAGATGGAAAGCAGGCTCCAGACTTCAACAAGACAAACTATGAGAGCCAAGGATACTCGGTCAGGTGTTTGCCAAGGCCACAGACTTTTTCTCATAACAATACAATGACATTAAATTGGACAATTGATTTGTAATAATAAGGGGGAGGGAGAAATCTATCCTGTATTATGTGGGTTTATGCGGAAATTAGGTAGAGCTGGCTTTGAATTCATCAGTGCTGAAATGAGTTTTGCATTCAGAGATCAATAGAGTTTTGCATTCAGAGATTGGAAGGTCTTGATCGTGCTTGCTTTGGTTGGGTTTGTCAGTTGCAACGTTGACAAGGATCTTCCTTTCACATGACCTCAGGGTCAAACATGTCAGGAACACCTCAATCTGCATATCTAAACATCAAAGCCTGCATGTCATTATTTGCACAGTATATCTCTACTAGTAGACCCCTAACAATGTGGACTACTGTTAATCATTGTACTGAATGAATAAAATAAGATCAAGAAAATTCTTCTAATACCTGAAAGAAAGATATGAGAATTAGGGCATGGTTTGCCTATGTCTTAAAGCAAATCTGCATCTCTTCCACTCAATGGCCTTGGAGGTCCAGAGCATATCACTTCTTGGGTATGTTTGGTGTCCTCCTGAGAAAAATGTATAGTTCCCAGCTTTTGAGTTCTTTAATCTCAAGTATTGAACAAAACCATGGGTCTGGCACTCCGTTTATGCCTCCTGTGATAAGTATTTCCTCTGCAATTTCTATTAACATTTTGGAGTACTTTTAATACAATTGTCCATACTTTTATTTGTAGCTTAAATGGATGCCAGCGTTAAAATCTTATTTTTCTAAATGTCAGGATTGAAATTCCTCCTTTGTCTTGTTCTGTTCAACTTAAATCACCCAGAAGGTGATTTAAGATAAATCTTAAATCTGCTATTCCATTTTTTTTATCTTTTCCAATGCTATATATTCCTGGTCTAGTTTCAATAAATTAACATGGTTTTGTTTTATGTTTTTGTAGACAAGCAAAATTGGCTTTGAATGTTTTACTAAAATATTGCTTTTGTTTATGAGGCAAGTTAAGTTCATATGCACAGTGAGATCAATGCTGTTTTGTCCATTTTTGTTTTATTTTAATACTGTAGCTATACTAGGTTTCCCTTTTTCATCTCTAGCACCCTTCTTAGTACTAGGAAGTTCCATGAGTCCAGTGAAGTTACTTTTACATATAAAAGGCCTGTTTAATCATTCTGATTTTTAATTTCCAAGAAGACTTTCACAACAAACAGAATTTTCCATCTCTGTTTGATTTGCTTGAGTCTTTATGAAAAGGACAAGTATTTTCCTTTTTTCTTAGCATTCTAGGAGAGTAATCTTGAAATACTTGAGTTTAGTTGCCTTCTATACAAATAACAGATAATCAGAGTTGGAAGGGACGTTGTAGGTCATCTAGTCCAACCCCCCACCGAAGCAGGAGACCCTACACCATTTCTGACAGATGGGAGTCCAATCTCTTATTTATTTTATTTTTATTTATTTATTTTGTCAAGCAATTATAAGATAACAGGTATAAGTATAAACATAGTTATGAATACATGAAATGGATACATATAAAAAAAATAAAAAGAAACAATAGGACAGGGACGGTAGGCACGTTGGTGTGCTTATGCACGACCCATACAGACCTCTTAGGAAAGTGGTGAGGTCAATAGTAGTCTAAGGTTAAAGTTTTTGGGGTTTGGGGAAGAAACCACAGAGTCAGGTAGAGTATTCCAGACATTGACCACTCTGTTGCTGAAGTCATATTTCCTGCAATAAAGTTTGGTGCAGTTTACCTTGAGTTTGTATCTATTGTGTACTCTTGTGTTGTTATGGTTGAAGCTGAAGTATTCATTGACAGGTAAGTCATTGCAATATATAATTTTATGTACTATACTTAGATCGGACCGAAGGCGTGGTAGTTCTAGGTTTTCTAGGTCTAGAGTTTCAAGTCTGGTGGCATAAGATATTCTACAATGAGTAGAGGAGTGGAGAACTCTTCTTGTGAAATATTTCTGGACTTTCTCCAATTTATTAATTTCAGAAACGTCATGCGGGTTCCAGACTGATGAGCTTGTATTCAAGTATTGGTCTAGTGAAAGTATTGTATGCTCTAGTTAGTAGAGTGATATTACCAGAGAAAAAGCTATGCAGAATTAGGTTTACAACTCTTAATGCCTTTTTGGCTATGTAGTTACAATGGGCTCTAGCACTTAGATCATTAGAGATCTACTCCAAGGTCCTTGACAGAGTCTGGATCATCAACAAGGTCATGACTATTCAACTTGTATTTTATTTTCTGATTTCTTTTGCCAATATGTAAGACAGAACATTTATTTGTTGAGATTTGAAGTTGCCATTTGTTTGACCATTCTGATACGTAGTCGAGGTCTTTTGGAAGGGTAGCAATATTGTTAGTGGTGTTGAATAGCTTTACATCATCAGTGAAGAGAACACAGTTGCTTTTAATATGATCACAGAGGTCATTTATGTAGAGTATGAAGAGAGTTGGTCCTAGAACACTGCCTTGGGGGACCCCACTGTGGACAGGTACAGAATTTGATAGGACGCTCTCAATTTTGACTATTTGTTGTCTGTTTGACAGGAATATTTCTATCCAGTTATGCAGGTGTCCAGAGATACCATAAGATTTTAGTTTTAGGAGTAGTTTGTTGTGTACCACTGAATCAAAGGGTTTACAGTAGTCTATGTAGATTGCATCTATTGCTTTTCCCTGATCGAGTTGTGTAGTCCATATGTTTTTGCAGTGTAAGAGTTGCAGATTACAGGATAGTTTTTTCTGAAACCAAATTGTTTATTAGAGAGTAGGTTGTTTGTCTCTAAGCGGAGGATAATAGATCGGTTAATAATTGATTCTATGACTTTACAGACAATGCAGCATAAAGAGATTGGTCTGCAATTTTCAACTAGGCTGGGGTCTCCCTTTTTGAAGATGGGGATGACCATGGCTTGTGACCATAGTTTTGGCAAGGAGCTGGTCCAGAAAGATTTTTCAAAGATTATGCTTAGATGTTCGACTATGGCAGTGGATAGCTTTTTGAAGAAGTAGGCACATATTCCGTCCGGTCCAATAGATAGAGATGGTTTTCGATTGCGTAGTGCTTTTTCAACATTGTCTTCTGTAAAATCGATATGTATTAGATCATTGTAGTTGTCAGTGGTTCGACTAGGAAATACTGGGCATGATCCATTGCTGTTTACAAATACTGAGCCAAAAAATGTGTTAAAGAGGTTGGCTTTAATGGTGTCGTCATTGCAGTCTTTACCATTAGGTCCTTTCAGGGGTGGTATCTTCTTGAAAGTCTCAAGTGATGGTGCTCACACAACTTCTGAGGGCAAGCTGTTCTATAGGTTAATTGTTCTGTCAGAAAGTTTCTCCTTATTTCCAGGTTAAATTTTAAATCTTTCCTTGTTCAGTTTCCATCCATTATTCCTTGTCTGGCCTTTGGGTGCTTTAGAAAATAGCTTGACAGCCTCTTCTTTGTGGCAGCCCCTGAGATATTGGAAGACTGCTATTATGTCTCCCCTGGTCTAGCCAGGCTCAGTTCCAGTAACCATTCTTCATCTGTTTTATTCTCCAGTCCCCTAATCAACCTGGTTGCTCTTCTCTGTACTTTTTCTAGAGTCTCAACAGCTTTTTTATAGTGTGATGACCAAAACTGGACGCAGTACTCTAGATCTGATCTTACTAAGGCTTTATAGTATTAGTATTAGTACCTCACTTTATCTTGATTTCATCCCTCTGTTAATGCAACTTAGGATTGCATTAGCTTTATTGGCGGCGGCTGCACACTGCTGGCTCATATTTAGCTGCTTGTCCACTAAGATTCCAAGATCCCTCTCACAGTTACTGCTATTAAGCTTGATTTCACCCAGTCTATATGTGTACTCTTGGTTTTTCTTGCCTAAGTGTAGAACTTTACTTTTCTCTACATTGAATTTCATTTTGTTAAATATGGCCCAGTGTTCTAGAGTCTGTCAAGATCCATCTGGATCTTGAGCCTATCTTCTAGGGAGTTAGCTATTCCTGCCAGCTTGGTATCATCTGCAAATTTGGTAAGTTCCCCTTCTATTCCCTCATCTATGTTGTTAAAGAAGATATTGAAGAGTCCTGGGCCTAAGATGGAACCTTGTGGCACCCCACTGCTTACTTCCCTCCATATAGACTTAGACCCATTAAGGACTACTCATTTGTCAGTCAGTTGCGAATCCATCTGGTGGTGGTGCTATATATCCCACTTTTTTCTAGCTTACCATAGTAGGTTGTGGTCTACTTGTCAAATGCCTTGCTGAAATCTAAGTATATTATGTCCACAATATTTTTCTG